AACCTGAGATCTGAGCTTGAAGACTCCAAACAGAGTCAGCTGAGGATGTCGGCAGCTGTATTGTCATTAGAATGGTTCAAAAACAACATCTCAAGGGGAAACTGTGGTAAATATAAAATAAGAAATAAAAATCACGCTTTGGCAAAAAGCATAACAAAAACTGTTAATTGACATTTTTTTTAAATTTAAAGCAATTGCTACTAAAGTTATCGAAGCTCTATTTTAAACTGGCACTATTTTTTATAAATAAAAGTAAAAGACATTTAATAGTGATATAGGAAGGGAATAGTTTGAGAGATTTCATAACATTCTTTGACAACCTTTACGGTTCTCCAGATAGAGCTTACTATTATCAACATTTGTAATACTGGGGTGTAAAAATGCACAGTACTGTTAGTTGTGTAAATATTATATCTTATTAAACATTTTCTTTTCGTATTTCCCTAATGCAGACTTGTCAAAAAGAATCGGCTTTACGGCAGGTGTATCCTCTAGCGGAAGTAGCTGGTCCTCTGGTAAACTGATATTCACCAAAGTGTTGTACAACCAAGGGAATGGCTACGATTCTTCATCCGGGATTTTCACGGCGCCCTCTGCTGGCGTGTACGTTTTTTATGTTTCCATAACTTCCTACAGTTCAAACGCAATCTCCGTAGACATATCTCTCAATGGGTACTCCCAAGTTACAGCCAGATCAAACGCCGGAAGCGGAAGTGGTTACAGGTCTAGTTTCTCATACTCGTATCAGACTGGAACAAACATGGCGGTCCTCTCCCTGAAGCGCGGAGACAGAGTCTGGATTGCGTATAATTCAGGAACGGGATATTATTCTGACTATACTCAAATCACAACATTTTCTGGATTTTTGATTTAAGGTCGCTTCAAAGCTGACCACCCAGAAGGAAAAAAAATGGAAATACGAATAAGTTTTTTTCAATTTCAAATTTATAAGCACGTTTTTATTTTTATTCGAACACTTGCATATATCTGTCAATAAATAACCATTTGCATCAATTGAATATTTTCTCCCTTATTTCATTTTCGACAATAAAATACTGTAATTGATTTACTGATTAAATTTGAGGTTATGTTTTGTCACAATGTAAGAAAATATTAGAGGTGCGGTAAAACTCGAAGTATTCCTTCCCCTCATGCAGAGTATTTTTTTTAAAATACTTCCTGGTCTTGATAATCTATTATCACAAGAGATACCGAAAGTCTTTGAATAATAATTACTATCATAATAGTTCTGAAATAAATTGTAACTTGCCATTTCTATTTGAAACCTTTACATGTAAGTCTCTTTTACATAAATTTATATAAAGCCTCGAAATTCCGAAAATCAGGCACTGTGGCCTATATTAGTTGACATTTTCTGAGGACTCAAAATACATCTACTGACCAAGTTTGATAATACGAAGCTAAGTTATTGTCTGAAATATTTAAATGGACAGAAATTCTTTTTTAAAAATAGGTCATTATGACCTACTTTTTATCGAAATACTTCGGAGACCAGGTCAATGTGACCTACTTTTCATTCGAAATACTTCGAGGACCAAAAATGCAGCAACTGAAATTGTCATAAAATTTCAAAAAAATAGTTCTCTTAGTATCATCAAATCTTGTCAGTAACTTGTGTCCTCAAAGCATGTCATCAAAATAAAGTAAGTCATCTTGACCTAATTTTAAGTTGAGCCTTTGGCTGACAAGAGCAATAAAGAGATGATCTAAAAACCAGCTCTTTGTCAAAAATTAGGTCATCGAACGTTACATGTCAGAGGTTTCAATGTTTGCATTCCTGTACATGTATTTAACTTGTTATGCATATTTCATATATATATATCCCCATTTCAAACAAAAGAGAAATCATTTTCATGTTTAAATAAATATGCAGTTTATGGGGGGGGGGCGTCAGATAAAGACTTCTAAAGAAATTTCCAGTTCCAGCATAATCAATTTTTAGAATTTAAAAGGAGTAACATTGCGGTAAGTTGCCGATACCTTAAGATTAAATGAGCAAATCAATGTTAGATGATCAACCAACCTCTCCGTGTTTGAAAAAAGAAATGAATGTTTGCAAAAGAATTCATTGACACAAGCGTAGGCTTTACTGAGGATGATTTCAGAAAAATTAACAGTAGCATTGTTTCCTTAACTACACACTCCACAACTTAAAAGAGGGTGTAACTAGAAGTCTTGGATGAGACTGTAGCTCTGCTGGTGTGTATTTAGAACAATACTCTCAGAATCAGAAACTGATACACAGTTTTATGTAATGACAATGTTCAGGTATCTTTCAAATGAGTACTTATCATTGTTGCAAATTTGACTTCCAAACACAATAATCTAGACTAAAATTTTTAAGAGAATCCAACTTGTCAAAATAAATTTGTTGACTATGAAATTATTTCTTCAAAATTTAAGAAAAAAACAAAACTTTTGTAAACACTGTGTTTATTGAATATTGATTCACATTCAACACACATTAATTTTTGTTTATCATTCAATATAACAATTTGTCCTTAAATCCTGTACACTTGCTGTATCAGTTCTATAAATAACTCCACACTGTCTGTAATTATCACAGAGTCCTATCTAGATCTATATATAGGCCCCCACTCCTCTAGATTTTGGCGGTCTGGGAGAGAGACTGCAGCTGTGACAAGCAGGACTGAATGTTCTTCTTCTCCTGTAAACAACAAGAATCAGATATTTAACATCTGAGTTAATACAGTTTTATACTGATTGTAAATAGCAGGAATTGGACATTAAGCATTTTATTTTATACCGTTTTATACTGATTGTGAATAGTAAGAATCAGACATTAAACATCTGATTTTATACGGTATTATACTGATTGTAAATAGCAGGCATTGGAAATTTATCATCTGACTTCATACAGTTTTATACTGATTGTGCCAATATGAAGTGATTTATTTTTCTTTTATTTGAAAAACAAGTTTTCATTTTACATGTTTTATATCATTTCTTTTATGAGTTTAGGTTTGTTATCCTCAAAAATAGGAGGTTATAACAGAGATTATTTTTTATTTATGATGAGATGTAGGTTCAATTTTACACATTTTTTTTATTAAAACTGATCCATATTACTCTGAATTGAAACCGAACCTTGAATTGTCCAAATTCTATCCTATGATGAGATTGAGTGAAGTTAGTTCGATTTGCCTGGTACTCAGTTCTTACTAGATCCAAGGTGATGTTCCTAAAAAAATTCTTACCAGATCTGGGGTGATGTTTAGTTAAGTTAGTTTGATTTGCCTTGTAACTGATTCTTACCAGATCTGGGGTGATGTTCTTAACAACTTGATCTGTAATCCAGTTGATCATGTGATCTTTTTCAAGCTCCACTTTTGTGGCTCCTAGTGCTAACTGACAGTCCTGTAGAGAGAGGGAAAACATTTGTAATCAAAATAATACAGCTTAAACACAGCAATAGGAATGAAATGAAGTTTGTAATCAAAATAATACAGCTTAAACACAGTAATAGGAATGAACTCAAGTTTTACTAAGTAAGTGAACTTTATTAAATTTAGTTAAAATTCTTAATTCATGGCAAGATCAAAAGATGTTAATATGATCACTTCTCCTGTAGATGATAAAACAAGAGGCCCATGGGCCATATCCCTCACTTGAGCACACTTGTACAAAAAATCAGATGTCAGTTCAGAAGTCAGAATTTAACAGTTTAAATATAACAATGGTTCAGAGCTTGGGGGTGGGTGGGTTAGGACTTTAATATTATTATGATCAATTATGGCTTTAAGAATGTTCAAGATTTTTCTTACATATTCCTGTGTGAAATTCTGATCATACATTGTGGCCCAAACTTACCACAATGGGTATGTTGATCAAAAACATTTTAAAAAATTTTCCCCATATATTCCCATGAAAAACTTTTATCGCCCATTGTGGCACCACCGGAGGTTCTTGAAAGATTTTTACATGATGCCATTAATTTATCACATGAAACAGTTTGGTGGACATTGGCGCAGTGTATTGGGAAGATGAAAATGTGAAATGGTTACAATAATAGTGACAATGACATCAACAGACAATGGACAAATTACATTCAGAACAGCTCATCGGAGCCTTTAAAAGTCATCTTACCAAGCGGGCTCTGACTTCAGTGTAGACGTCCTTAAGTCTATCTCTGTAGTTATTTTCTAGTTGTAATTCAATGTTTTCCTGAAAAAGAGCATTTGAATTTAATTTGTTATAACATCAAAATTTTTAAACAGGATTAAATCTTGCATTTTAAAATAAATAATACTAAAAACCTGAAGACAACTTATCTAAAGATGCTCTAAACACTGCACACGAAAGAGCTCTATTTATTGGGTAATTTTATGCAGTTAGAGTGATCTGCCCTCAGATGTAAGATTAAAGAAATTGTTATTTACCGTTAATGACATAATTTATAACATATTAAAATATTTTTAGCATTATATTAGACTAAGAGTAAGAAATTTATTAATTATTTTCATTAATTTTTCCAATGTAAGTAAACAACAGTGATTTCTGCTCACAAATAGTCCATTGTCTTTGAACATTTTTCCTGCACAAATAAGGCACATACCCTATGTTCTAAATGAATGACAAAGTCTCAATATGCACATCTTTTATATGATATATTTTCTCTGTCAGTCCAAAAAACAGTTTCTGTTAGTGTTTAGAGCTTCCTTAACCATCTATCTTACTATTTGGATGAACTACCCTGAGAAATACTATTTTTTGTGAGTACTTTAGTTAAATCCATACCATTTGGATGTCGTAATATTATTTATTGGTAGTACTTTAGTTAAATCCTTACAATTTGGACGTCATAATACTACTTATTGTGAGTACTTTAGTTAAATCCTTACCATCTGGACGTCGTAGAGTTTAGGAAGTTGTTGGATCATGTCCTTTGTTTGTTGTGCTGCAGCGATACACGCACTGATGTGATCTTTCTTGTTTTGGATTGGTTGATGGAAATACATGTCATTTAGTTTCTACAAAAGAATTAGTAATGAGTCAATCAAAAATCTTGATATTCTTTTCATTATACTTTTTTTTAAAACTTGGAAACCGATGTTGAATTTTTGACACCATTAATTAAAGTTAATACCATTACTAGTAAATCAATTTCACATTTGAAGATGATGTAGATTAAAATGATCCTATCAATATATGACACTTGTTCAGAAACCTCCTTACACCTGGGCAGTTTGTGATGTATATTGTATACAGGGAAATTTTTGCTCCCGTTTTATTTTCACCTCTTTCGCCCACAAGGGCAAAAATAACATTGGAAGAAAATAACACTGTATACAGTAATGTTTAAATAAAGTTACCTGAGCTAGGAATGGTACTCTGTTATCTAGGAATCTCCTGACAGTTTGTGACATTATTACAGGTGTGATATTATATTTACCTGAGCTAGGAATGGTACTCTGTTATCTAGGAATCTCCTGACAGTTTGTGACATTATTACAGGTGTAATTTTATATTTACCTGAGCTAGGAATGGTACTCTGTTATCTAGGAATCTCTTGACAGTTTGTGACATTATTACAGGTGTAATTTTATATTTACCTGAGCTAGGAATGGTACTCTGTTATCTAGGAATCTCCTGACAGTTTGTGACATTATTACAGGTGTGATTTTATATTTACCTGAGCTAGGAATGGTACTCTGTTATCTAGGAACCTCCTAACAGGGGGTAGTTTGGTAAAGCCCCACAGAATGCCAAAGTAATAGAAGTAAGCCAGGGGGTAGCTGACAATAAGGACACCCTTAGCAATGGCAGCAAAGAAACCACCAGCAGTGAGTACGTAGAATCCTACAAAAAAAAACATGACCAGCAGTGAGCACATAGAATCCTACGAACAAATCTTGATTTTATAGGGATATTCTCAACATTGACACATGTATACTTATATATGTAATCAGATTAGTGTTACCTGTGACTCCGCTGTAGGGCTGCATTGCATCAAACACGTTCCTCGGTACAAACTTATGAGCGGTCTCTGGCTGGGGCACCTGACCGGGGTTCACGAAGCTGGGGAAGTTCTTCATGTCTCTCTGGGGACCAAACAGTACCTTGTTAGCCCAGGCCCACTGCTTCCTCAGGTCAAACGGAGCAATGTCCTTCTCATCCTCCGGGGGCACAAAGCTCTTCTCAATCATCTGACGCTTGGTGGCTCCAACAGGAATACGAACATACTCCACACACACATTACCTAGTGATGAATAATAGATAAAATTAATCCTTATCCTGATGTACTCCATACACACATTAACTAGTGCCAGTAGTGGTGAATTACAAACCACAAAAATTTTACATTTCCCTCATTGACATTAAAATGAAGAAATGATGAAGAATAATTATTATAATCACACCGCAGAGACACTAGATTAGTCTCGAGTCAAGTGAATTGAGGTACGCGGCTGATGGGAGCCACTTTCTTTGAAATTGATTACCTCCACACTTCAGTGAGAATTTCTCTGGGGGTAGAGTGTTGTTTGTTATACATTACCTCCATTGTTTCAGTAGGAATTTCTCTGGGGGGTAGAGTTTTGTAGGGTTGCTATACAGTGGCTGCAACGGTATTGTTGACGAACCCATCGTGTAGAATCGTTCGTGTATCGTGCGTGATCGTTTGTGTAACGTGCGAGATCGTGCCTGTATCAGACTCAATCGTTTGTGGTTTTAATCGTGCGAGATCGTGGTTTAGAATCGTGTAAATTCCGTTTTGTAAATTTTTATCGGAATGTTATTTGTAAAATAAGAATTTGTAATGGTTTTTTTTGTAATTTATATATTAAATAAATGCAAATAAAATGAATTTACATAATTGAATGCAGAACGAACTAATTATTGCTCAAAAACAAGCAATATAGTAAGTCGTACAATATTAAGTTCTCGTCAAATAGCTCGATCAACATTGTGATAAACCGTACTTAGATCTTTAACGTTTTTTATATCTGATTTTTATTCTTGTTTACTGCTAATTGTGGTAAAGATATTTTAAAATCAATAATCAAAAATAAATATTTTATTTTTACAAATACATAAACATTTCTCAATGGTTACATAAATATTAAGTCGACGAATATACATGCACATGACATGATTTTCGGAGGTTTTGATTATCTGTGTTTATCTCTGGAGCTTACTTTTAATTAAATTTTTAAATTTCTGCAAATAAAAAAAGTAAATAATTGGCAAGTTCATTTTTAGAGATTCACAAACATTGAATCAATGGAAACATGTGGATATAATTTGTAATTAAGCCATTCCATGCTGCCATTTTTTTTTTCAATCGTATCCTCCTTTCTGCATATCATGAAATCCAATTCAATCAAATTATACAGTCCACATACATGTACATCTTCTGATAGAAAGAAAAAAATCCATTTTCTTAGGTCGGAGAATTAACTAAATAAATATTTATAATCTAAAATATTAAGTCTTACATGTATTTAGCATGTTTAGTTACAGAAATATCCATTTCCTGGTTTTTTCAAAGTCTATGAAATAATATTGATAATTCTTTGATATCTTAAATTAGTATTAAGCTGTATTTCGTTTTGAAAATATCGATTCCTAAATATTTTGAACTATTTTGAGTGAAGAATCTTGCATTTGCGTTAGCAATCGTGTAAGATCGTGCAACATGTAGAATCGTGTGCGTGAAGAATCGTTCGTGTAACAGGTTTAATCGTGCGTTAATCGTGCGCGATCGTTCGTGTAACGTGATCGTTCGTGTAAGTTGTCAACAATAACGTTGCAGCCGCTGTATATTACCTCCACGTTTCAGTAGGAATTTCTCTGGGGGGTAGAGTTTTGTAGGGTTGCTATATATTACCTCCACGTTTCAGTAAGAATTTCTCTGGGAAGTAGAGTTTTGTGGGGTTGCTGTATATTACCTCCACGTTTCAGTAGGAATTTCTCTGGGGGGTAGAGTTTTGTGGGGTTGCTGTATATTACAGAACCTCCACGTTTCAGTAGGAATTTCTCTGGGGGGTAGAGTTTTGTTTGTCATACATTACCTCCACGTTTCAATAGGAATTTCTCTGGGGGGTAGAGTTCTGTGGGGTTGTGAATGTTATACATTACCTCCACGTTTCAGTAAGAATTTCTCTGGGGGATAGAGTTTTGTTTGCTATACATTACCTCCACGTTTCAGTAAGAATTTCTCTGGGGGGTAGAGTTTTGTTTGTTATACAATATATCCACGTTTCAGTAGGAATTTCTCAAGGGGGGGGGGGGGGGGGGGGGGGGGGGGTAGAGTTTTGTGGGGTTGTTATTATATACGTTACCTCCATGTTTCAGTAAGAATTTCTCTGGGGGGTAGAGTTTTGTGGGGTTGTTATATGTTACCTCCACGTTTCAGTAAGAATCTCTCTGGGGGGTAGAGTTTTGTGGGGTTGTTATTATATACGTTACCTCAATGTTTCAGTAAGAATTTCTCTGGGGGGTAGAGTTTTGTGGGGTTGTTATACGTTAAATTACCTCCATGTTTCAGTAAGAATTTCTCTGGGGGGTAGAGTTTTGTGGGGTTGTTATATTAAATTACCTTGTTTCAGTAAGACCTCCATGTTTCAGTAAGAATTTCTCTGGGGGGTAGAGTTTTGTGGGGTTGTTATACATTACCTCCACGTTTCAGTAAGAATTTCTCTGGGGAGGGGGGGGGGGGGGTAGAGTTTTGTGGGGTTGTGAATGTTATACATTACCTCCACGTTTCAGTAGGAATTTCTCTGGGGGGTAGAGTTTCGTGGGGTTGTTATAAGCCTCCCTGAACCACTGCTTCTCCTGTTGAGAGAGGTCGGGGCGGGTCATGTAGTGGACATTTGTCCAGTCTTCCTGCTTGGCCAGTCTCTCCACCACCTGGTTATCTGTGGGCGGATCCAAAACCACCCACCCATCCTCCTCCTTCCACAGGGGTGGATCCGAGGGGGCCTTACTGTCTGTGGTCTGCACTGAGGTGGAGGAAGTGTTACATCTGGCCTGATTTAAACTCAGTCTACAGTATAAAGAAAACATTGAGGACTTCAGATATAAAATAGGTTTAAATAGCATTATGTCTGTATACTTTGATATTATCATAAAAATTTTGTTCAACATTTTCAAAATAGACACTTTATATGACGGGATAAATTCCACTTGTGACATGGATGTTATTATCAAGCAGTGGACTGTTTTATGGGTGTTTCAAGGAGATTTGTAGCTGTTGTTATCAAATATATCTATAAACTGACGTATAGTATATACTAATTTTTTTGTTTCTTGATTAAACCTTTTTCAATAAGGTAAACTGCAATAGTATTCTTTCATTGAGATTGTTTAACTTAAAAACATTTTTATGTTGTTTTTTTTTTTAAATATCACTGCATTGATTGACGAAGCTAGACAGGATTTTGCTTCATTTGGCTGCAGTACGTCATCTTTAGTAGGTCACAGTGACCCAGATTTAAAGCATGACAAACCATCTACTAAAAATTTGCCAACTAGCATAGTTTGATTATTCTAAGACTTAAAGTATTTAATTTAAGTCAGTATACACATAAAAGACAGACATTGGCACAATTACATAATACATTTCATCTTTAATCTGGTGTATAAAACTAAATTAAAAACTGTTTTCAGAACACACACCCCCCAACAGCTCCTTTATATATATTGATATATACATGCATATCTTAATTCTCCACGTTTTAAGTAATTTCTGCACTATTTTACATATGATAAACTATTTCTGTACCTGTTTAATCCATACAACTGGGTCGCCCCTTGCTTCTTTCCTGAAAAATAAGTAGTGAATATAAATCACGACGTAATCATGTATTACCATGTCACTCAGTGACTGTATTTCTATTAATGTACTACTGCTGTGAGATTACAATGCTTTTTTTTGTGAAAGTGATATATAAAGTCACTGTGAAATAATGTGGATGGATCGATTCATACAAAAAAAAAAACAGAGTAAAACATTGAGACAGAGTGATTTACAAATCATTTGATATAAAAATTATAGTTGGATGCGATTTAATTTTATCCATTTTTTTTTTCATTTATCCCCTTGCCAAGGTTTCAGAATAAAAAAAACAACTGCATTGATGAAATTACAATCATATCCAACCACAAATGAGGTATTGAAGAGCTTATCCTGTGATATAATTAAACTATTCACAGGCCTTAGAAATTCTATCAATAATCCGTTATATGATTGATCAGAATGATATTTATACCCATCTTTATATAAATGGGTCATTTTCAAAAAAAGTCTATTTTTTGAATTACATATTTTGAAAAATGAAAGTGGTTTTACTATGATTTTTTCAACTTTATTTGAATAATATAGTACTAAACTACTAAAATCCACTGCATTGCATAAAAGAAAATATTTCTTTTAAAAAATATTGACATTTTATCTTAGTCATTTAAACTTTAATGTCCTTCCTGTTACTTTCATAAAAAGAGCTGTAAAACTCTATTTCAAAATTTTCATCAAATTATCGTTTGTATACCGTTAATAAATGAAAAAATTATCACTGAATGCCAAGATGTTTGACATTCATCTAATATATGAGCGTTTAAAAGCATGTCAAACTACCATATACCAAACAGAAGCAAAATCTACGGGTTTTTCTTCATGAAAAGCCTTATTGCGGAATGTTTATATGCTATAGTTGAAAAAAACATTCTTGTACATTATTTTTGTGATTAGAATAAACAGTTACAGAAAGTTATTTAAACAGGTGCTCTGCCAAAGCAATTTAAACTAGGAAAATATACTGGTAACAGTAAGGACTCGGGTAACAGGAAGGACAAAACAGTAACAGGATGGACAAAACAGTGTAACAGGATGGACAATGAAATCTACATTTTAGATAAAAATTGACTTTTTTTTATCTTTATTGGTTAGGAAAAGAGAAATAAATGTAGAATAAAAAAAATGATTTTGTCAAATCTGGCAAATTTGAGACAATAAAAGATATTTATGTCCATCCTGTTACGAAATTTAATTCTAAAGTGCTATTAAAATATTTATCAGTTCAATTTTTGTTTATTAAAGGTACTCTATGCTGTTGCAAAACTAAGAATTTTTCTACCTTTAAGGCTTTCATAATTTTAAGAAAAACAAATGATGAAACTTAAATAGGTATATAAATACCAGGATAATTTGTCCCTCCTGTTACAATTTTTGTCCATTCTGTTAAAAGAGTGCATGTTTAAGTTATAATGGCACAATTTGAAGCAATAAGTTATTTTCAATATGATTTACGAAGTTTTTTTACGTGTTATTAAACTTATATTACTTAGAAAAATAAAAGTAATTGTTTTTATTGTTAAAACTCAAGATATGAAGTCCAGTTTTCCTTACTGTTCCCATATTAATGGTAACAGGAATGACAGTAACAGGATGGACATTTCTCATATAAATCACCGGTTATTTAGTATAACGTACTCTTTTTGCATCATCAAGACATTGAAACAGTTTCTTTGTAACTTAGTAAATCTGATTGTTTTAGCAGAATAAACAATTTAAAGAGTATTTGCATATTATGAAGGTAACAGATAGGACATATTTTCATTATACTCTACCAATAAGACAAACTTATCGACCTTTGAACCCTTTCTTTACTCACTTTCAAATCATGGCGCTCATAAACTTGAGACAACAGAAAATGATGATATATTGTGGATCATGAAAACAGTTCCTAGGAAAGTGAGATATCTTTTATTTTAACATTTTCTTTCTGATAACAGGAATGACATAAACTGGTGGGACATGTCACTTCCTGAATGTTAAATGCACGATACTAGTATTTAGTGGTCGGCATAAGTAAAACAATCATATTAAATTAATCTGTAAATGAATTCAATTAAAATGAGGTGCAAAATTTGTACATATCTTCACAGGGTAATATTTTCCCTATCATTTAAATAAGCGCGTTATAAAATTTTTGTTGATGTGACATGGTTTTACTGTTAAGTTTTACTCGGAATGCAGAGAATATTTTTTATAAAACACCTGGGAGATGATCATAAAATTACTTATAGCTATATGACCATGTATATTAACCAACGGGAAAAAAAATTTCACTCTAAAAAATGTTTTCCTATTATTCTGATCAAAAGACAAAAAAGTGGACTTTTTTTGAAATTTTTTGAAATTTTTTGAAATACACCAGGTATTTTTAACCCCCTCGCCGATTAGGAGCCAAATTTTTTTTTGGGGGGGGGATGAAAGTGTCTAACCTTTTGTGCAGAACTGTGCCCAAAATTGATTCTACTTAAATTCCATTGCTTCAAAAGTTTCGAATGCATCAGAATATAGACACAATTCAAAATTCTCTACCCCAGGCCACCGCCATGCACTGACATCACTCACATAAACAATGGCTATGCTCTGAACAAAATCACTGTAAATTCAAAGCAATCATTTTCCTACCACAATAAAATTTAACAAAAACCATGACCTTTGAATTTTTTTTTTATTTGTTTCAAATTTGTTTTGCTAAATGTTATTGCTAGGGATGGGTATTGCCAAAAATTTCGTATCGCGATATATCAGGATTTTTTCCCACAATATCACGATAATATCAATCATGATATTTTTAAAAGCAGTTTTTACAATGATTTTATATGAAAAGTCATTATTTTTCCAAAAAATATGCTAAAAAAACAAAATTTTACTTTCTTGAAATTTTTATGTATATAAAATCAATTATGTTTGGACGCATCATCGCAAACCATGGCCAAAATGTACGCTCTTCTCCCATTCTGGCCGTGGTTGAACGAGGAGAGAATTCTTCGTAGCTCATTAAAATATTACCCAATGCCAGTAAAGCATAGTCGGATGATGAACTTTATCATGCCCTTTCAATATCCAATCGCAGTATAGGAAATATTTCTTGTATACTGTTGACGTCAGTTGTTGATTTCGATTGCGATGGAAACAAAACTTGCCACTGACTGAATATGACATCACAAAGAGAGGCGTGAATATTCAAGATTACGACACTTTTTGTGATCAAGCAGCCACGGGTAGGAGAGAGCTTTATATGCGGACTCCGGACCGTGGCTTGAGACGATGGTTTGGACGGTAAGATGCCGTTCTTTTCACTTTTTTCAACATTTTTTATACTTTCTGTAATTGTAATTTGAAAGATTGATCAAATTAATGAATAATTTCTGAACTTTATGAAATGTACCTAAAGACCGGTATTTAGGTCTCTGTATCATGATACGTATCACTCAACAAAAATTCGCGATATACCGGTATACCGATAAAATCGCACATCCCAGGGTTTTAAACTAACTTGTAATCCTTGATCGCCATGTGGGCTACTAAACCTTGCAATTCTGGGGCCCACATCAAAATTTTTTGGCCCACAAATTATCACACCTTCTATTGAATAAAAATACAACAATACCATTTTTCGTTATTTTTTTTTTTATCATATGCATCATCTTTTTTTCTATCCGTAGAAACATTATGCACGACTTATCTAAATTTGAAGTTGAACTCTTGTGTTTAAAAAGATTGACATGGTTATTAAACATCATAGATTCACGTGTCAGGTATTTTCACAGATACAACAAAGATACTTTTTGGTTTGTTGGGCTCATTGACGCGTTGATGCCACATTGTGTCCATCACAATCACTCGGACACTTTATGTTACGTATAAGTACTTCTCACTGGTAAATATAAAGCACTAGACTTATTACGAAATTTTTCAAGAGAAAACATGGAAAAATACGGAACATTCGGACAAAATTGAAAAAAAAATTTATCATCGTAAATTTTCTAATCGCCATGTGGGCTACTTGAGCGTAATTTTAAGACGCCCACAAGGAATATTGATCGCAAATTGTGAATGGGCAACTGTTAATTTCAAACCCTGCATCCCTAGTTATTGCAGTAGAAAAATGATTGCTTTTAATTTGGTTTGATTTATTTAGTGCAGAGCAGTGGCCAAGGGTAGAGAATTTCGAAGCAATGGAATTAAAAATCAATTTGGCCAAAGTTCTGCACGCTAAAGCCAAGGTTCAACACTTTTGTTTTCCAAAAAAAAATTGGGGGGTTAAAAAGTAGTTGCAAACCTGGTGTATTTATATACAGAGAGGGTATATATATCACTCTAATCAATCATATAACGGCTTATTGATAGAATTTCAGAGGACTGTGACTATTCAGTATTCCGAGTGATACAATTTGAGATTATTTTAATAAACTCAAATTGTCTCGTGTTTTTTCTTCATTATTTTATTACTCAGGTATATGCATGTATCTTAAATTCTAGTTAAAGTTAATACAAGTCCCTGTTAATATGCAATATTTCCAAAGGGCACTTTGTCTCTTTATTCAATTACAGAGGAAATTCGGAAAAGAACACTTCAAGGCGATATTTTAGACATACAGAAAATAAGAATTCTTAAACAATTCATTTTCGCAGAGCATCTAATCTGATTTTCATAAAACATGCATAAATATGGACATGTTCTCACCAAGACTCTTGCAAACGGTCCGAAACATTCTGGCAACCGTCGTGACCTTATTGCCGGTAGTTGCCCGGATGTTGCAGTGAAAAACAAGTCGTACCGTTTTATTTCATGATTATATTTTCAAAGCCAATTTCGTGTTATACTCATACCCCAAATAAAAGCAGTCAAGAAAGCCCTATGCACTAGAGAGAAAAAAAATTAAGAAAAAATATATACCCATAATTAATAAGGTATGAAATCGAAATATAGATAACTGTAAAATGCAAGACTAAATGATTGATAAATTACAACTTTCTCAAATGAGTTTTTGAACAATTAATATAAATCAACTAAAAAATCAAAGTATTTTTGACAAGCCAAAAAACAAATGAAAAAATAAATAAAAACAATTTAAAAAGCAACATAGACCATGTGCATTTCCCACTCACCCCAAATACCTTTGCCTTCGGAAAAGGGGGGGGGGGGGATTTTTACCACATTTATTAAGTTTCTTTTCATATCTATCCGTTTCTACCCTTTAGCAATGATTAGTAATTCTGAATTTTGAGAGAATTACCCGATTGTCCCGGTTTTTCATTTTCATATTCGTTATAACCACAGGTACTTGTGGAAAAAGGAAATTACAGAATCACCCCCCCCCTTTATATTGTTCCCCACCCCAAAAATTCAACCCTGGGGCTAGTTGGACATTTTTTCACAGATTATATTTATAACACTTATTCATCGTTTGTGCAATGGGAAAAAATCGTAAAACCCCAAAAAATAATCGCGCCTCAAAAAATACCCCACTATATAGAGTATAGTGGCCGGGGTATTTTGTTGTGGAGCGATTATTTTGAGGTTCTGGCGATTTTTTTTTCCTATTGTACACATGATGAATAAGTGTAATTAATATAATTTGTGAACCACACTTGGAGACCCGAAATAAGTGTCAGATACAAAAAGTTAAATAGGAGGTGCACGTCATTATGTAATAAAAAATCTGCATGTGATTTGAAAGTCTCAATAAATTTCATTGAGAGGTATAGGAGGAGTTGCGGATAAGAGATGGGATAGACGGAATCTTAACAGTGTCCATTTTTTGCAATTAGAAACCCAAAATATTTGTCGGATCAAAAAGTAAACTAAGAGGTGCACACATGTACTATGTAACAAAGATTCTCTGATAGTCTCATTTAATTTCTTTAAGTGGTATAAGGGGAATTGCGGATAAGAGATGGGTATACCCCAAAGCGTAAAGACAGACGAACAGGCATCCCGATCACCATTTACCCTCCCACTTTTCAATCGAGTTATAAAAAAGTCACCAGGCGTTTTTATTGAGGGAACACAAGCATACGGTAGCTATCTTTATACTCCTATGCACTCGAAAAGTTAGAGGGTATATAATGACCGGGATGTCTGTACGTATGTTACGCTTTTGGGTATCTATCTTGGCGCACTCAATTTTATTAATTACTGAATGAAATATAATGAGACTTCTACAGAATCTCTGTTTCTATAATACAATGTATCTCATATATTGGCAAAATTATTGGGGACACAGCCCCACCCCACCCCACCCCGGTTAATTCCTACGGTCCAGCAAGGTGAACTATGATGCTGAAACAAGAGAAACCCATCCGCCGGTATCGATTGGTCTGTGATTATCATAATAATCCCCGTGACGTCACAATCGATCAGGGATTGTCCCACTGTAGAATATGGCGGAAGGATTCTGACAAAATGCTGAAACTGAACTGTCTTCACCGACCGGACTACTCTCTCAGGTAGGTAACAGGGGCTTAGTTTGGGAGGGGGAGGGGGGACGGACAACCTGTCATTCAGTGTTGACCTCATGGTCTTGAATGGTACTCACTTCGAGCACTGTATGAGGGATAAAAAGCCATATAGAGGACGATATCCAAATTTATCTTAATAAATGTAACATGATAATTGATATAATTCTGAATGCGTTTTTCCGAACATTACCTGGAACGATGGCCTTTTTCAAACACGATTCTGTATCCAGAGATCAGATATTTACAGATTATGAATTTATTATGTATATATAAGGGTGTCTATTTCATGCCACAATGTTATGTAAAATCTTATTGATTTTATTGTCAACTTTAGAATAAAAAACTGTAAAGTTATAAAACAATGGATAGATTCAGACACAATTATAATGTTCATTTTAAAGCATGACAGTTTGTAATAATTAACAGAAAGCTCTATAATCGATCGGTTGTCCTCTAGATCAGAGAAAACTTCCGAGACTCCCAGATAGTCAAATCGATGGAAATAGGAATGCCTTATAATACGACATCTTTATATCTCGGCGGTATACACCACATTGATTTTGTTGGAGTTTAGAATCGTGGGTGGCGACCATTACCGTAAACTGCTGTGTCAACAAAATTAAGTGACTTCGATTTCTACAAACATTTATGTTTCATTTTAAAAGAAAATCATGAAAAAAAAATAAACAAACTGCGTAAAACCAAAACAATTCCCCAAGATTTTGAACGTTAGCCACTATCTCTCTTAATTTGTAGTGCTAACTGACATACTTCATAAGGTACTTTCTTTTTTATACAATGAGGTAACCATACGTAAGATATTAAAGGACGACATTATATATATACATGTAAGTTAAAAATGACAATATAGTAATTCTTAATCCCAGGGACCTATATACTAAGTATATATATATATATACTTAGCATATAGGTCCCTGTTAATCCTTAATGTCGAAGGAAATCATTACAAATTACCTTGACCATGTTGACCTGACCTTGCTACCGAAATATGAGGTTAATTTTAACTGAAACATCATCATTACTGATATTGTCTTCTTGAATGTGTAAAATTCACTAAATACAATAAAGTTTTAAATGAGAAGAATTCATCCTTAGGGCATTCTGAGAATCATCCCATTATATAGTTAATTCCCTATGTTTAAAAAACTCATATAAATATTATTTGACACCAAACTAATTGCAAAATTGAAATTAATGTACCAAACCCTGAGTATATTAGTAATGATTTTTTTTCTGTAGATTGACCCATGACATCAGTCCCGAAAATCTTCCAGAAGATCTCCATGACTACGAGTCCGAACTCAAAAAAGAGCAATATATTCTGTCATGCCTGACAAGGCGCGTGCAATCACCCGAGGCAGAGTGCAGCAAAGACGAGGGCGATGAGAAACAAGAGTTGTCACCCTTACAGATAAAGCAGAAAACCTTAGAGCAACTGAACAATGTTATCAATAACCAATACCACAGCTCAAAAAATCACTCCGACGGAAAGGTCGGCAAGAAAGCCCCGTGTCTGGGCGACACACAGCTAATAACTGAGTTACAGGTACCACTTCGATAATTTTAACATCTACTTCATGTACGTATATAGTAAGAATACTGACTGAAGGAATGTACACAATCATATCCACCAACATTTTCCTATTTACAGACAAAGAATACAGCTGCAAAAAGACCCAATACCTTGACCAATAGTCACGTGATTAAACCTGTGCTAACCAGAGGACCCAGAAAACCGCGAAAATTACCTGCTGTTCCCTCAACCCAGAACCACGTGATAGGTAAAGGCTAAAGATGTTTACTAGTATAATAGTTTAATGCTTTTGGTTGTCCAACAAAAAAAATAATCACATGTAATTGGGATTGATTTTCAGTGACCCCAAGCAAAGTACCGGAAGTAAAACCCATAAACGAGAAATGTTTGGCAGACGAACTCCAGGAGGCGCTGTTGCGCGGGGACAATGACGACGTGTTTCTTCCTGAACAGTCCCCCAAACAGGGGAAGGTTTACCCCAAATTCAGTAAGCAGTACCTAGACGAACTCAAAAGTGTCTGCTTTAACTCAGTGTCCGGCAATACGGCGCCATGTTTGTCGTCAGACAACGTGTATTTATCAGAGGACTCCGTACCCGATACCAGACCGAGGACAAGGTCACGTCATAATTCTACTGACTCGCGCCATCTATCGACAGAAAGTGGTCACTCATCAACAGACTCGTGTAAAGATCCTGATGGAACGGCACCAAAACAAACCGAAAGAGACAACAGCAGGGCATCTTCAATTATGACACAAAAACGCATAGCGGCCAAAGATCGTAATAAATACATGACTTCAAAAGAGGAAGTGGACGAGACAACGGCTTCCGCTTCCGCTCTCATTACATCAGAGGACAGACGGAGAAGGGACAGCGGCGATGGTAAAATTATCATGTCACATTTTTTTTTTTTGCTCATCTGAGCTCATACATTTAGCTTGCTTTAGCTATTCTGATCACATTTCGTCCAGCGTCCGTCTAGCTGTCTGTCCGTCTCTTCTTCTGTTAGCTTCCCATTGAGCTAATTTTAATCGAACTTGGGTATATAGGTAATTCAAGTTTTTCTTTCCTTATTCTGACGAGGTAAGTTGAGATCACAATGGGTAATCAAAGTTTTTTAGTGAAATATATTTTTTTAAAAATCTACTCAAGAGTAGCAGAGTCGTGAATTTTTTATTATGATCTCCAGAGTTGGATGATATCTTTAAAAATAATTTGAAGAACAGCAAAACCAGAATGATTATTCATATGAATATGAAAGCATCTTGAGTTGGAATGTAAGTATGTTTAAATCATGACACCTTGGATCATGGGTGGGGATAGCACAGGAGATCTCAGTATTTAAAGGAATATAGAACCACTCTTTTGTTAAAGAACGCCAGGCCAATATTTGAATCACATGAGCGTTTTAGCCCATGGTTCTCTCTTCAAGTTTTATCGCTTTTTGTTTTAAAATGAATAATTTTAAATACGATTGTCGTAAAGATTTTTAATGAATTTTTATTCCATCACTAGATTCCAGTCAAAAATCGTCGTCAGTTTTTGGAGACACTAACTTCCTTGATCTGGAGGTGACACACAGGGGCATGCACCGATTCATTCCGCGGCATCAGGACGAGATTGCCATAGAGATAGGAGACCCGGTGCACGTGTTCCGGCTCCATGACGACCTCTGGTGTGAAGGTTCTGTAAATCACATTTTATTTGCGAGGGGATTGGGGTTAGGGTTACATGGGATCGTATCTACGGTTAGAACGTTTTTACGTTAGGGTTAAACCTGTGTCAAAGCTTAAGAATAACTCAGAAATTAACAGATATCTTATGGTAAAATGAACAAATTAATTGCAAGCGAAAATGGATCAATCAAAAAAGTTGGAATTTATATCAGAGAAAATTTTTAATTAAAGAAATTTGTTTTAACAAATTAAAATCATTCAAAAAATTAAAAAAAAAAAAATTAAACGTATCAAATTCATTTTAACAAACTTGACCATTCACTGGTACAGAGAATTTAGAAATAGTTTTGATTTGCAATAAAAAGGCTTCTTTGGATTATTTTTCTGATGAATGATTTTCTGATTTTGATTTTGCCTTTACAGGAGTAAATTTACGGAGTTTAAGGCGGGGGATTTTCCCGTCCATGTACGCCACGGATTTAAACTTCTTAGAGGAAGCAGATACGGGTATGTCTTTTACTCTTTATTTATAGGATTGCCTGCCATTATTGAAATTTGTTAGCAATATAGTTTATATAATTTGTAATCAAAGGACAATACATGTATAATGTAGTTATATTCATACAGTTTTGTCGTATGGTTTCCATTAAATAAGGACTTTTCAGTGAATTTGAAAACGAATCTTAAAAGGAATGTGTCCGCCATATTCGATCTGATTCTTTATATCCGAGGACCCCTATATATAGCGCCTCACTAAGTCACTGTTCAGTGCTATCAATTATCACCGGTGTACACGGACGTATCAGCACTCGATAGTAACAAAAAATAATTGTATGTAATTATACTTGTTTTAAATTTGGAAAGTTAGATACCATAGATACTTACAATATAGTTTCACAGGTCAGTGCAGTATATAGAGCAAGACAAATACACGTAACTACAATAAATCGCAAACAAAGGTATTGATGCACAATTACGGGTCACAATTCCGATACAGGTGACAACAAAGCAGCCAGGTGAAAGTGTTCCGCTTTTAATAAAACAGTATGAATTAAAGATCTAGCCGTGGTATATACTTTCGTTTCAAATTAATCTCTTTGATTGTTAATGACATTTTGTGCAATGTCTTTTTAAGATGGGGATGGAAATTTTCACTTCAACATGAGATTCCTGGGCTCCGTGGAAGTCAGCGGTCATAAAGGAGACGATGTTCTGTGTCAGGCCATCAATAAGGTCAGAGGTCACGTTCAGTCATAACGAATTAAAATTTTCAGAAATATACCGAAAAAAAACTGCATATCATTACTTCTTCCTACAGGTGGCGCTGTCCCGTAGGTCTGCAAAGACCTCTGTACCACCACCCATTGTCTCCGTGGAGATCAGCCAATATGGAATACGCATGCTCGACAAGAGTAAAACAGGGGTAATCCCAAAACATAGAATTATTCTCTGTCGCAGTATTAATTACTGTTTGTAAAATTATAGTTAAATAATCATATTCTATGTTGTTATTTGTGTTTAGTTTTCATTCAGTGAACATGCATTGTACTTGCAAATCCTATTTCTTTTCAGCACGAAACAGACGATCATTTCACTCATTTCTTTGCCCTGAAGAATATATCATTTTGTGGATTTCACCCTCGAAATGAAAGGTATGAGTAAATTGTATATGTTTATATAAAGAAAGTTACAAGAAATATATTGACGCAAGCGCCAAAAATAGTCCGCAAACCAATGAATTGTTCCTTTCATGAAGCAACTAAAACTGAAATGCGTGATCTGTTTTTAAAATATCTTATATTTATCTGTTAATATATCCTCGTGACATTAAACGCTTACGTACATGTACATGGCAGCGGTCATGTACCATCATACGACATTGCATGATTTTTTTTTTCATATATAATACATGCATGTTCAGTTTTACATGTATAAATAAACTACCCCTGATCCTCTGCGTCTCCACACTCAGCTTGGTACAAACAAATCCTGGATGAAGTTTGATGTATAAGAAGTATTTACATTAAAAGTTAAAACTAAAGTTTAATGTTATCATAGGAGTTCGCCTACCTATGAATTATACCGAAATTTTCATTAAATAAAAAAAATACGTAATAAGTATAATAATATTATAGGTATTACGTATCTTTTTTATTTACCGAAAATTTCGGCAAAATTGATAGGTACGCGAACTCCTGTGATGTTATCTATAACTAGAGATACGTTTACTTTTTAATAAAAAAAAAAAAAAAATACTTATAGTATAAAGGGCTCCTTGATTTCTCTCTCTCTCTCTCTCTCTCTCTCTTAGAGGAAAAAAACTAAACTCCCTCTAGATCCGCCATTATGTTTATTCTCTTTCAGTTTCTTTGAAGATGAAGCGGGAAAATTCTTGGCACTTTGTAAAACGCGCGTTATCCTCGTCCGCTAGAACAAAAACTCGTAATATTCTGTCTTTATTAAATAAACATTTAACCATATTTTTGAAAATTCTCGGCAAATGTTTATGTATTTACATATGTACACGTCATTTTGTTTATACATAACGCGGTCTTTGCTTTAGACTAGTACTGTAAGTATGCCCAACACGTGTGCTAATTTTCTCCGCACATCTGTCCTGTCAAACTTTGTCAATCAGGACTGGATGAAATATTTACCCCATTGTTTATAAAATTTTTACATTTTATGGTTATTGTGCGTTTTTGTTAAACATTTTGACGCTCTTTATACATGTTATGATATACTATTATATGAATGTTACATATTTTTTTATTTAAAATTGTTATTGCTCCGCAGAAACACACGGCGACTTCAACCTTTCACATCAAATAACCGACCGCCTCCTGGCGGCCAGTAACAATAGATTACTGCAAGTTGTATATTAGAGATAAATCTCAATAGTATATAGTGTAATGCTAGCTAGACAGCGGATAATATCGACTAGATGGAGACTCGAACTCTTCCACTGCCCTACCACTGAGCTGCTGTATTTGATTGATGTTCACAATCCCCGTTACACTATTCCCTCCTTTAAATTTCTTAAGGATCTTGCTTTAAAAAAGCTAACTTGAAATCCTTCTGAAATATCCATCAGTTTTGTTGCTTTGAATCAATTTTATATTTAAAAGTAGGAGGAAATATCGGCTAGAACGGGATTCGAAGCTGAGACTTCACGCTCACTCCTCAGACGCTCTAGCTACTACAGAACTTTTACATACACGTTGAAACTTTGTGTTGCGAAAATAGTAGTAGACCTAAACTTTCTTTCTTGCAAGCAATAGATTCACTTAGTCAAGAATTCGTTAAAAATATTAAAAATCAATTTAATTTTCATCATTCAAACTTTAAAAAAATAAAAATTGTCAAGTATGTTTTAGAAGTACTCAATCTCCGTTACGTAAAAAAAAAAAGAAAGAAACGGTAAATAAGATTTTTATAAGAAAATAACTACATTCACACTAAGATACATATAGTGCCTTTATTTTTAGATATTTTGGATTCATCACAAAACATCCATCGTCATATCGCTTCGCATGTCATGTATTTCTGGGCGAAAAATCGACGAGATCAGTCTCGGATGCTCTCGGGTAAGACCTTCACTCGTGTTAGATGTATTTTATTCTACTATACTCTCTTGTTGGCGACTAATCAGTATCTTGTTTTCTTCTATTTCTTCCAGGGATGCATTTAAGAGATTCTATCAGGAATATATGGCATTTACCCACCCTACTGAGGACATTTATATGGAATAATGAAGTAATCTGCATATCACGTGATGAACCAGGCGGGGCTCAATCGTCTCGATATCACGTGATGAACCAGGCGGGGCTCAATCTTCATGCCATGTGATGAACCACGCAGGGCTCAGTCTTCATGTCGCCTGATGAATCGGAGTAGGCGGGCTCAATCTTCATGTCACGTGATGGACCCAAGTAGGCGGGGCTCATCATATCACGTGATGAATCATCATTGATCATTATAATTCACGTGATAAAAACCAGATAACATAATCATAAATCAGCAACATTACCATAACGAGTATAAAACCGCCTATACTGATATCAAAAATGGCTCCGGGAAAAAAAATCTCCGCTCTAATCCAAGAGAGACCAATCAATTATAGAGATACCAATGAACAGCATGTAATACCATTCTTATGTAGGTTTAAGGATTTGCCGTAAAGAATCTTCAAAAAATCTGATTGAGGACGCCTCCATGTAGTTCCGATAAAGTACATTTACATTTGGCGTTCCATACAACCAAGAACCAAGTGCTTTAACTGGATGTATTCCGATAAGGAGAACTCCATCCTGACGTAAAGTTAATCGACCAGTCTACAAACCTGTCACATAACCTGGAGTGTCAATCCAGATGAATTCATGTGACGTATTTCATAGGCGTAGTCACAGGGGGGGGGGGGCAGCGGGGGCACTAACCCCCCCCACTTTCAGATCGGGGGGGGGATATATCTGTGCCCCCACCCCAACCCCACACACACTTTTTAATGAAGAACAAAATCACAGCTTTTTTTTTTTTTTTTTTTTTTTTTGCTTGTCAGAGAATTTCTGGACTTGAGCCCCCTCACTTTTAAGGTCACATTTTTTTTTTTTTTTTGCTTGTCAAAGAATTTCTGGACTTGAGCCCCCTCACTTTTAAGGTCACATTTTTTTTTTTTTTTTTTTGCTTGTCAAAGAATTTCTGGACTTGAGTCCCCTCACTTTTAAGGTTGTGACTACGCCTCTGTATTTCAATATATAATCAGTATATCTAATGATAAAGTTATATGTCAAGTGCAACCAATCAACAAGGAAATAAAACATTATAAATGTTCAATTAAAAATAACCGGTAAAATCGCAGTATTACGTATATCACTCACAGAAGTGAAATATTTTCATTAAACTATCAAACCATGTTTTTCTTATGTGTCATTAAAACTGACATGAGTAAACGGTAGCTGAAAACGTGTGATAATTTGCAAAACGGGCAAGGTCTGTTTTGCATAAATTTCCCCACGTTTCCGACTGCCGTTGATGTCCCTGGCATACCCAACAAACTATAGACAGTGATTCCTTTCACTTCATCGTATAATAAAATTGTGAATTTAGATTTAAGAAAAATTATATAATAGATTTACATTATACATGGTCTCCACTGTCATTTTCAAGAGTTCCCGCCCACTGACCTACCATTGTCGAAATATACATTCCGGTTGAATTATCAAGAAATTTACTGACCTTAATTCAAAAAAAAAAAATGGAATGAAACATGGAGATAACAAACAGTATTCAAAATCAAAAGTCTATAAAACAATACAAAATAGGAGCAGAGCAAACACGGACCTCCGAAAGATCAGAGGTAGGATCAGGTGCCTTGGAGGAGTGAGCATCCCCTTCTGACCGGTCACACCGGTGCTCCCTTCCCTGGGCGTCATTCATTTCAATTTCTTACCCTCTGTTCTTTACAGCATTATGCAACACTTTTTGCCTGACGTCACGGAGTCAGGCTGTATGAGGATTGATATTTGCAAGATCCGAAAGTAATGGATCATACCTAGAGAGCTAGATTTTGTGCAAGCTGTTTTTCATTGGAATTATTTACCTGCATTTTATAAGAAACAGTTTTCAGAAAAAAGAATGATATTACTGATGCAAAATATTGTAGTGTTTACTTCCTTTAATCTTTTTGCTTGGAACAATTATTCCATGTGATTCACCGTTTCAACATGTCCGTGTATCCTTTTTTCTGCATTTCTATACTACTGGGGCCCGTTTCACAAAACTATCTTATGACTAAGATCTGTCTTAAGACCGAAAATTATCGTAAGATTGCACCATAGCCGTTTCACGAAACTGTCATATCTTATGATAATCTTAAGATCTATCATAATCTTAAGACAACTAGATACATGTCTTAAGTCTAAAGTGAAACTTGCAATATGTATTGCGACTATGTATTTTGGCTAGAAACCAATGGATATTTAAAGAAAACGGTTCTTAGAGATAGAAAAATCCTTTGGACTATATCCGGCCAGTCAGAACAATGACACGCCCCCCCCCCCCCCAAAAAAAAAATGCCGAAAAACATACGATAGAAAAACTAAAATGTACGTACTTTGTGTTTTCCTCTTTCTTCATTCTTTGGTTGTACCCCCTCCCATCTGAAATTAACCCCCCCCCCCAAAAAAAAAAAACAAAAAAAAAACAAAGGCTTCTTAGGATCATGTGCATTTTGATGGATTTGATTAGTCCATGAATTTTACTTTTATTTATTTTGTTACAGCTAGTGTGGCAGACAATATATAAATGATTATTGTATGTCTCTAATTGTAGTGATTTAATTTCAAAGTAAACATTTTATTCAGTCGTACAAAATTAGATGAAAGTAAAATAGTTTTTCTTAGGTATCCTCATTAATCCACCGGCTGCATTTCATTTCCGGAATTTTGGGCAATTATCAACTTTTCATTTCCGACATTTTTTTGTTTTCATTTCCGACATTTTTTAAATACATATGTAGTACCTATAGTAACAGATTTGATAACTTTAATTATGAAAAATTCGAAGGAATAAATCATAAATAAATCATTGAAATACAATTTTTTAAATCTATCAGTGACTTGGTATGGTGCTGTCACTGACATTTAATTTACACATGTGATGAAAAAAAGTTTAATGCTCACTGAACTGTTTTACCTAGACTTGGTGCTACATGTATGTACATATGTATAGATGTTTTTTATATTATTATTCTTATTAATATTTTGGTATAAATACTTTTAAAATTCTATTTCCTTTTACTTAGTAAACATTGAATTGCCGCACATTGTATTGAATAGCCGCACAGGTACTCAGTAAATTCCGGAAATGAAAAAAAAATATATGTCGGAAATGAAAACAAAAAATTCGGAAATGAAATAAAAAAATGTCGGAAATGCTATGCATATTTCCGGAAATGAAATGCAGCGAATCCACCTTAATGCGATATGTGTATGACAATTCAATATGCTGTAATATTTGATGCTATATGTAATGTACATGCTTTCTTTATGCTTTTTTATAATAGTATTGAAACCGTAAAATTGACTGGAATTTTTTCTTTCGTTTCTCTTCTTCATCTGTTAGCATCGATATTTTGTTGCAGCAGTTGAAGCGTTTCAAATACACCTGCATCGAATTAAATTTATGAACGAACTTTGAACACGATTTGGTGTCTCAAAAGGGGTCATTGTTAAAATCGTACGTTATTTGCAAAGTTTTAGATACAGTAGTAGTTTTAATCAAAAGTAATCACAGTTAATTTAAGTTGATGCTATAAAATGTTGTTTTTGTTTTTCGGAGGTTATGTCTGCAAAAGAAACTATATGAGACACACATTATTTCAATATTTCAAAAGAAAATTAATTAAAGACTTCGTGAAACATATTTTTAAAAAATCCCAGTAATATTGAAGAATGGAATTTGTCTTAAGACTTGTCTTAAGATTTCTTATACTTAAGATAGTTTTGTGAAACAGCAGTGACAAATCTTATGATTGTCATAAGTCAGATCTTAAGATGATCGTAAGATCTATCTTAGGACAAATCTTACGATAGTTTTGTGAAACGCGGCCCTGGATCAGTCCATTTATATTCTACGAAAGGGGTAAATCGCTCTTTTCTATGGAAGGGAATTACCGCCAAAAGTCTATGTCTCTTGCTTTTATTCTTATTCTGCCTACTTCTTTATGCTTTGTTATTATTGTAATTATATGTCACTTTATTGTTTTCATATTCATCTTTATTACATTTCACTTTGATTTTTATCCTTCTTCATTTTGCCCTTACTGCTATGTTCCTTTATCCTTGTACATAACAGTGGGACGGACAACTTTGGAATGGACATTTTTCCGAACTTGCGCACCCTTTTCCTTTAAAGCTATCATCTTAGGGTTTTTTTTTAATGGTGGGGTTTTTATAATCAAATTGATTTATGAAAAAAAAAATTCAACATTTTCTGCTAGTTTTTGAGATATTTGAGTTCAAAAACAAAAATCCCATGGGGAAACATGAACTTAAAAATACCCCACAAAAAACCCCACAAAAACCCCATGGGGTTTATTTTTCACCCCATGGGGTTAAATAACCCATATTATTTTTCGTGGGGTTTTTTAACCCACGTCTCACTAAAAATAAAATGTGGGGTTTATTATCCCATAATTTTTTATGTGGGGTAAAAAAACCCATATTATTTCTCTTAATGCTTGTAATTATCAAGTGAGAATTATAAAATAAATATTGTTTGGAGTTGCAACATAAATTAAGTACAATACATGTACATTTTTTATCAACTTTGTAACAATTTAATTAATTTTTTTTTCAAATTCATTGATATACAGTACCTGGCCATAAGTGAGTCATAATTTTATTTTTACACTATATATTTCATTGAAAAACATATTTTTTATAAAAACTTAAATTGTTGTGAAGTCAATTTTAGCTCAATTTTCATGATTTTTTCACTGAAATATGCAGATCGAATTATTCAAATTTTCTTATCTTAAATGATTAACAAAATGATACGTAAACTATTGAGAATAAATAATAAAATATTGTCAAGACAAAGTTTTCTAACCTCAAATTACTATGATTTCTTAACAAATTGAAGTTTTAAAATTTTTGTTTTGCACTTGACCTGTGATTTCACGGTAATGCATAAAGATAAAACTATTTTGAAATAATGTGAAGAAACTACAACAAATTCTGCATTTTATGGTGTTTTAGACATTAAAAAGAAACAATAAATG